AAAAAAACAAACCAAAAAAATAAAAATATTCAAATCGGTCAAGCCGTTTTCGAGTCTTAGCGAGGCTAACGGACAGTAATTCATTTTTGTATATAAGATATCTTCTTTTAAAAATGCGCAGGCTCGAAATTGACTTTAGAGCTATGGTCTAGAGGAATTTTTTTCTTAGAATTCTCTGAAGAATCCGAATATGCCAGGAGCAATGTCGAAAAAAATCAATCCATACAAGTTGTTCCGCCCTAATGTATACATACATACGTGCATTCAAACATACATATATACATATATAGGTACTCGTGCCCGCCATGCGTCGCTTTATTTCTTTTTTCCCCTTCCCTATACCATGATTCAATAATAAAAGGTTTGCTCAAAAAGCAGTTTTCTCGCTCCCTCTTGACAAAATCGGCTCCCTTAGCAAAGCATTATGTGTGGGTTCGTGTGTGTGTGCAAAGCTTTTGTAAGGGAGCTAAGGGTCTGATTATGCATACTTGGCATAACTTCGCACAACCATTTGTACCAGTGCACTAAAAATGTATCTTAAGAAAATGTGAAGCAAAATCTAAACTCAACAGATCGCTAAGTTTTTAAAAGTTCTGCTAATTTCTGGGTAATGGAATACATACAAAATACATACAAAGTACATACGAAATTACAGTTTGAAGTTTATGCGAAGTTGTGCGAAGTTATGCGAAGTATGCATAATCAGACCATAAGGGAGTGTCAAAACTCTAATGTCAATAATGAGCAAACCTTTAATTATTGAATCATGTCCCTATACTACCTATATCTTCCTTCCCACTCATGTAACGTTTTCAGTTTTAAAAATTTCACTCCCCATTTTTGCGATTCCGCTGCCTAAGAAGTTTCACTTCAAAAACGGAATAGATTTGAAGTAAAGCGGAGTAGAGGAGTAGATTTCAAATTTTTTCAAAAACTGGAGTAAATGTAATCTGATCTTAGGAAGGTCCAAACACTAGTGTGGAACGAGTTTTTTACTTTTAACGCTAATGACCCACAGATGGCGGGAAAACACAGGGTTGTATCAGACTTTCGACGTGGTTTCGAGTTGTTTAGCTTTTAACCATCTCAGTGAAATGGTTAAGTGCTGTTATTTTTATATGGCGAAACTACGCTAAATCAAGTGGGTTATCAACCGCCATAGCTACGTGGTTAGCTCCGGTGGGGACATGGTATAACGATTAAGTGAAATGGTTAAGTGCTGTCATTTTTATATGGCGAGACCACGATAAATAAAGTGGGTTAACGGTATAAGGCTGCATAAGTTTCATTTTCATCGAACCGGTTCAATTTTCGGCTTCGTGCGTTCACTACGGGAGGATGAAAAAAATTTCGGCGAATTTATTTTCGCTCGATACAAATAACATGTCCGCACTGGAGCTAGCCACGTAGTTATGGCTAGGGTTCGAACGATACTATCGATATTGAGTAAGTATCGATACTGAGGGTATAAAAATGAGTACTTTAATACTCGATACCTTATATGGTGATTTTACTCTATACTTTGCAAAGTCCTCGTAGTATCGAATACTTCTTAAAAAACACACATTTTGAATTTTTTCTTCCATTG